TGTGTGTGTGTGTGTGTGTGTGTGTGTGTGTGTGTGTGTGTGTGTGTGTGTGTTGACAGGAAACAGGAAGTGGTTTCCAGCCTCTGGTCCAGAACCAACAGTTCAAAGTTGGATCAGACCGTCTCCAGACTGGACCTTGGTTCTGGTTCTGTTGGTTTAGGTCCTGTGGGTTATTTGCTCCCTGGTCGCTGCCTTGCAGGTTTTTGTCCGGTCTCGTAGATACAGTCTGGTTGTCATGGAGACGGCTCATCCTGGGAAAAGTAATCACACATGTCCCAGACCCGGTCCGGTTCTAAATCAGCACRGAGGTTATTTTGTCTTCACAGGTTTAATCTGAAGCTGGACCGGTTCCAGAACATCTGAGACTGGTTCTGATCCGTCTGAGGGTCGGTCACAGGATTGTAAAAACCCTGCAGTCGGATCAGAACCGTCTCATCTGGTGGTCTTTGTTTTTGGTTCTGGTCCATCAGAACATGTGACATGACGGATCAGTTAGATCTGATCTGGACCCTGATGGACCTGAACCACCAGGGTCCAGATCAGCCAGGTTCTGAAGCACAGAGGAGGTAGTATCTTACCTGTTTCAGATAAGAACAGAACCAAACCGGACCGGTGTCTGTCACTGGTCTGACCCGTTCACTGGTTCTGGTTCTGGTCTGACCCGTTCACTGGTTCTGATTGTTTTCTGTCTGTTTGTGTTGCAGCACGATGAACGGATCAGAACCTCCAGGTCTCGGCAGCACCGGCGTCTTCGGCTCAGACATCAAGTGAGTCTGATGATGATGATGATGATGAAGATGATGAAGATGATGAAGATGATGATGATGATGATGATGATGATGATGATGATGATGATGATGATGATGAACTGTCTTCATCAGATTTCAGAATAAAAGCTGACGACAGAACAGTTCTGCTGTAAAATAAGTTTTATTTTCTCGGTTCTGGTGGTTCTGAAGGTTCTGGTGGTTCTGGTGGTTCTGAAGGTTCTGGTGGTTCTGAAGGTTCTGGTGGTTCAGTTTGTCAGCAGAAGGTCAAAGGTCGTCTGAAGTGGACTTTAAACCCAACAGAACCACCAGGAGTCAATAAAAAACCTGTATCAGAACTCAGGATCTGGACTGGTTCTGGTTCTGGATCTGAACATCATATGGACAGTCAGAACCCAGTCAGAACCAGAACATTGGTCCAGGAATGAACCTGATGATGTGTTTATGTGTTTCAGTGGACACAGGTCTCCGTCTCCAGAACCTCTCAGGAACAAAGCCAAGAGTGGTGCCAAAGTTCTGCACGGTGAGTCCTGGTCCTGGTCCCGGTCCTGGTTCTGATCCATGTCTGTTGTGTGTTTATGGGCACTGTTAAATGTCTCGTCTGTTTGGACCAACAGGACCAGAAGAGTCGTACTTCCTCCGGTCTTCCTCCAAACAAAAACACAAAAGTGAGCCTGAAACCGGTCCGCTTCGGTTTTCATGGACCTGATTTGGTTTTACTGGGTCCAGTTTGTGTGGCTTCGGTTTTCATGGACCTGATTTGGTTTTACTGGGTCCAGTTTGTGTGGCTTCGGTTTTCATGGACCTGATTTGGTTTTACTGGGTCCGGTATAAGTGGCTTCGGTTTTCATGGACCTGATTTGGTTTTACTGGGTCCAGTTTGTGTGGCTTCGGTTTTCATGG